CCCCAAAACCCCAAAACCCCAAAACCCCAAAACCCCTGCTATTTAGGATAGCAATGAATTAGTTTTTAAGCTAAATATGGTCAACCATCCAAATTATTTTATTCGTTGCCACACTACATTGCTGCTTTTTAAAAGAGAATCTAATACATCTCAACAGGAATTCTCTTGAAAATTTTGAGATGGTCGACAAACCATTTATGAGATTCTAGCCATTCTTGTACTTCTTCTGATTCTTTTATAAAGTAGTCCTCAATCATGTACTTAATCTGGAGATTGGTAAGATTGTATCTGCACTTCTCAAGGATTGATAGAAGAGGTACCACCAAGTCTTTAGATTCTAGAGACACTTCAAAAGTAGTTAAAGTATCTTTCCATTTATGTTCAATAGCTTCCTGAAACATCTGAAGTCCTTCTTGGTCGCAATCAAAAGCACATGCTGAGTAATGATCAATTAGTTGAGATACATTGGAATTTTTGAATAAAGTCAGCTTAGAAATGTAACAACTACATTCATCTATCTCTGATCATATAAGCTTATACAATGTTCTTTCTGGATAAAATTCTAAACAATGATTCCTTCAGCTTACCAATTATTTCTTGGAGATCCTCACAATCAAAAGAGGGGAGATCAATCTCTATTAGAGGGTAGACAGCTCTTTGACAAAGTTCTATCTGCTCTACATATTCAGACTGATCTTCTAACAGCAATTTACAGTTAAAAGACTGACTATATGAGTACAAGTTTGCTTTTGGAATAACAATGGCATAATCTTTAGATTCGTTAACAAATGAAGAGTCATATTGAGCAAAAAGTAAGCTTGCCCCTTCAGACTCATCAATCACTCTTCTGTGAGCATCTTCTATCTCAAAGGAGTAGAAATCAGTGATGTTAAAAATATTTTCCATCCTGACTAAGGCTCGCTTCATCACCAACCTTCATGGATACTTTTACTCTCCTGGCTTGGTACTCATATCCCATTTTCAGCTAAAGATTGTCTCAAAAATTACCTTGAAAGACTTTAACAGAAACTTGGTAAATCTGAATTCAAGACTGTAAACAAGGGTGTCTTGAGGAATATTATTGGTAATAAAGATATTTGGTACAGGAGCATTCCACAAAATTTCCATATCTTTATCTGTGAAGTCTTTTTGGTGCCATCTCCCTTTCTCTATAAGATAATAAGTACTGTTTCGAGATATTGGTTAAATACTTGTGTTTACATACCTATTTTTAAAGTTTTACATTTTAGAAATTGGAGACTTTCAAAGTAAGCAATACCATCCTCAAGGATCAACTCGGTCACACTATCAAACAGTTTTGGATTCGCAAGAGATGTTTTTTGTAAGAGCTTTACTTGATGATTCTCTATTTTAACTTTTGCTTTTGTCATTAACTTGTTCACAAAACGACATTGATTTCCAAAGTTAAAGCAGCGATTATCGCAATTAATTGAATTTACATATGTAAAGAGCTCAATGAGCAATTTATCTGTAATATTTATTGTTCTTCATGGATATGGGCCCCAAGCTTTGATTCTCAAGTTCACTTGAACAGATGGAGCATTGTCACTATCTTCATCATTGTCTTCTATAAAAATATCAGGAATAGTATACCTTGGTTGTAATTTACAGAAATTTCAGAGATACATTTCTTAAAATACTCATTCTCAACATGAATATGATTTGGAATAATAGATTTAGCCTTAAAAATTCCAACACTGCTCTTATGATTCACAAATGCATCATGCAATACTTCAAAGTCTACAGTGAGTCTGCCAAACTGGTAATTTGTGGAGAGGAAACTATGGTCGACCTTTTGGAAATCTTCGGTGTAAGGATCTGGGCCTATCTCCTCAACACCTTCAAACCATTCTTCAAATTCATGAAGAGCTTCAAGAGTGGAGATTCTATAAATCCATGGAATGTTGATCCTCACTAACATAAGAGGGTGCTTCTTTGCCTTTTGTAGTTTCTCTTCAACACTGACAACATTAATTTCATCTTCCAAATAAATATCTTTTCTGTAATTGCTCATTGAATTTCTGAAAGCTCTAAAGTTCTTCATAAGCTCCTTCCTCGAGGTCTTATCAAATTGGTTCAAGAGGAGATAGGACTCAAATGCATTCGAGTAGTAAGGCATTAGCACTGTCCAAATAGACCATTTGTGCATAAGAGCACTTTTTCTGCTTTTGCTTTCCATATATCTCTGTATGCTAAAATTTAATTATAAATCTATCCATTAAATCTTCAGTATTTAGCCAAAATATTGGGGTTTTGGGGTTTTGGGGTTTTGGGGTTTTGGGG